CCTTTTTGTGGCTGAATACTATTTCATTGTATGGATATACCACATTTTGTTTATCCACTCACCAGTTGATGGACATTTGGGTTGCATCCACGTTTTGGTTATTACGAATAATGCTCTATGAACATTCGAATAGAAATGTTGGTGTGGACATGTGTCGTCACTTCTCTTGGTTAGATACCTAGGAACGGAATTGCTGGACCATGTGGTAATTCTGTGTTTAACTTTTTGAGGAACTGCCAGACTGTTTTCTAAAGTGACTGCACGATTGCCACCAGGAATGTAGGAGGATTCCGATTTCTCCACATCCTCACTGACACTTCTTGTCCTGAAGTGATTTGCTCCTCTCCGTTCCCACTGCCAGTAGCTGGCTGGAGCCACCACCATCTTTCACCTGGACCATGGAAGTCGCCTCCTCCCTGGGCTCCCGCCTTGCACCCTGTCTTTCCCCACACCACAGACAGAGGGCGCCTGTTAAAACTGAGGTCAGATCTTGTTCGCCTCCACGCAGAACTCTTCCATGGCCCCTCCTCGGCTGAGAATAACCCCAAACTCCTCACCACACAGTCCCCTGAGCCGGCCTCTGCTCACCTCTCCGACATTACTTATGTCTCCACTTCCCTACCCATTCGGACCCAGCCACACCAGCCTCCTATTCACTTCTTGATGCTCCAAGAGCTGCCCAGGCTCAGAGCCACCCCCAGTGCTATTCCTTCTGCCCCAAACCTCTTTGCCCTGCTCTCCTCCTACCGCTTCCCCCTCAGATCCGGGCTTTACTGTCGCCTTCCTAGAAAAGCCTCCCCTGACTCCTCGCCCAGCCTAAGTCACATCCCCCCATCCTCTCCCTCACTGCATTTAGCACTGTTTGAAGTTGCATGTCTGTTTGTGCGATGGTTTGCCCAATGGCTACCTCCACCTTAGGCGGGGCTCCGTGAGGGTGGGTGAGCATCAGTGCCTGGCCTGCAATGAGAGCAAACTAAATATTTCTGCTCATTTCACCCCCTCAACAGCCACCTCCTGTCCTCCTCTTTGCATGTGCAGTTCCCTCTACCAAAACACACTGTTCCCTCTCCTTTCCTCCCCCATGGCTGCAGGATGGACTGACCATTATGCAGGGGAACAGAACGGAACTGGGGGGTGAGGTGAGCAAAAACGCAATTAGCTGCGGCTGCAGGGCACAGAACCTGGAGGAAGCAGAGGCTTATGGGAAGTGTAGTCCCAGCCCTGAGACTTGTGGGAGATGTAGTTCTGGTTCATCCAGCAGGTAGGTTCGGTTAAGCATCTCCCCGGGAGGAAGCAGCGGGCTGATTCCCACGGGACCTCAGTTTCATGTCACTTTCTCTCAGATAGTATTTCAGTGTTTACTGTGTTCTCTCTTGTTTCAGTTTTTACTGTGACACACAGTAAAAAAAAAAAAAAAAAAATTATTGTGACCAGGACATACATATAAACACAAGCAGCAGTTCTCAAGCCTTTACACTTTTAAAATACTAAGGACCCCAAAAGGCCATTATTTATGCAGGTTATGTCTATTGATATTTACCACGTTAGAAATTAAAACTGATAAATTTTTAAAATATCTGTTTATTAATGCATTTTAAAATAACATGAATAAATCCATTAATATAAACCTAAACATATAAACCTATTTGAATAAAAATAATAACTTTTCCAAACGACAAACAAATTTAGTGAGGAGAGTGGTTTTGTTTTTACCATTTTGCAAATCTCTAACGTCTGGCTCAACAGAAGATGGTGGATCCTTGTAGCTGCTTCTATGTTTAGTCACAATATCGTATGCCGTGTAGCTTCTGGAAAACTCCAGTGTACACTCATGATAGACGAGAGTGTAAAAGGCTGGTAACATCTCAGTGTTTGTATGAAAATAGTTTTGACCTCTCGGATCCCCTGACAGGGTCTCTGGGACCCCTAGGGGACCCCGAACCGCATTTTGAGAACCTGATGACATAAGTCCACAGTTTTGAAATCAATAAAGCTCTGAAAAACTGTTTTATTGTAAGTTTGGAGGCAGAACTTGACCTACACAGACACACAGTCTTAAATTATTTATCCCCCTTAGTGGGACTGTTCAGAGATTTCACCATAGAAATATTAAAGTGAACAGCCAGCTGAAAGAAAGTGTTCAGAATATACAGCATATGTTCCTGCGGCAATATTACAATAGAAAAATTCCCAAATCCAGAACACGTCTGGCCCCCAGGGTTTCCGACAAGGGACCTGTCAGAAATAAAAGTTCCATACGTGGATATTTCCCCTACAGCGAGCACGCACTCTGCTATGTTCTAGCTTAGCCTATTTTATTTTTCCAAAAAGCTCGAGTTACAGCCCACAAGCTTGACGTCACACCTCAGTAATGGTTCACTGCTCATGGTTTGAAAAACTCTAGCGGACCTTCTGTAAGCCGCTGTGACACCCCCCCAACTCCCGAAGGGTAGGGATCGGGTTTGACTTGTTCCCTGCTGCACCCTCAGCTTCCGCCTTAGGGCCTGGCTAAGCACACAGTAGGCGTTTAATAAATGTTTGTTGAGTGAATAAATGCACACATAGCGAGCCAGGGACAGAGTTAGGACTGCAACACCGCCTGCGCCGCTCCCTTGGACTCAAGAACCTGCCCACATCTTTTCCAGACACTCAGACAGCGGACCTTCGCCTCCTGCCATCCTCATCCAGCCGCCGCTTCCTCTCGGGGAGATGCTTAACCCGAGCCTCCCTTCTGGACGAACCAGAACTACATTCCCCACAAGTCTCAGGGCTGGGACTACACTTCCCATAAGCCTCTGCTTCCTCCAGGTTCTGTGCCCTTCAGCCAGGGGGGCAGCTAATTGCATCTTTGCTCGCCCCCCTCCCCCCAATTCCGTTCTCTCCCCCTGCATACTGGTCAGTCCACCCTGCAGCCATGGTCCCGGCACCCTGTCCCTCTTACCCCTCCTCCCGCGATGAACCTGCCTCAGTTTCTCCAGTGAGACCCCCGAGAGGCAGCCCCCTCCCCCTCCCCTGAGGCCCCTGAAGAGGAGGGCTGTCCGCTGCGGGGGTTGTGAGCCCCTGTCTTGCGTGCGCCGGGAGTCCACGGCTGCCTGTTTTGGAGCCCCGGGATCTTGGACCCCTGCTGGGGGGGCGGGGCGGGGTGGGCCGTGCTGGGGTGGGGGTGTCTGGGTCGCCCCCGCGGCGTGCAGTGAGGCTGCGTCTGGGATGCGCAGCTCCCTCCCAGCCTCACCGGGAGGCACGCAGCGCGGATGCTCACGGACCACTGAGAAGTCCGCGCGCAGGGTGGGCGTCCCTGCTTCCGGTGCGTCTGCAGCTCAGGGCCCTGTGGGGTGTGACCCCCAGACGGCGGCTGTCTGACACGTGATGTGTGCGTCCTTGTGTGTTTTTGTCTGTGTCCCTGACTGACCGAGTTCTCGGCCCCACTCTGCCACTTCCCTGCCGTGTGCCTCGGGGCAGGTGACTGCACCTCGCTGTGCCTCAGTTTCCTCATCTGTAGGATGGGGATGAGGATTAAAAAGCAAAATGCGTACAGCGCTGAGAACAATGCCTGGCACAGAGCAAAAGCTCACAAGAATAAATAAACTATGATTATCTATCTTTTGTGTGAGGCAAGTGTCTACAGCTGTGTAACCTCCTAGGCAATGTGGGTATTTGTGATGTGTGCGTGTGTGTAGTGCGTATCTACATCTTGGTATGTGTATGTGTGCCCGGGTGTATTTATGTGATGTGTGACTATAGTGGGAAAACGTGCGTTTGTAACCTTATGCAAAATGTGTGTACATTTGTGATGTGTGTGTCCATGTACGTTTACGTATGTGATGTGTGTATCTTTGTGTGCCTATGTGTCTGTGCTGTGTGTGTCTGCGTGTCTCTGTACGGATAATGTGTGACTGTGTATATTTGTATGTGATATGCATCTGTAGGTATCAGTGTGATGTATGTGTGTATTTTGTATGTATTTGTGTAGCTTGGTATGCCTGTGTGGTTCTTTGAATGTGTTGTGTGTCTGTATCCATATACGAGTTGTGCCTGTCCGTGTGTATCTGTATGTGATGCGTGTCTGTGTCTATTTATGTGAGTGAAATGTGTCTGTGTGAGAGATGTGTGTATCTTTTATGTACCTGTGTGTGTTTGTGTGTTTGTCTATGTGATGTGCATGTCTCTCCACGTATCTGCTGTGTGTCTGTGTATATTTGTGCATGTGATACATGTGTCTATGTCAGTGTATGTCGTGTGTGTCTACGTGCAAATGATGTCTGTGACTATTGGTGTAATGTGTGTGTCTGTGTGGATCTGTGTGTGTCATGCTTGTGTCTGTGGGTGTTCTTTGTTGCCCATTTGTGGAATGTCTGAGTTCGTGACTGTGTGCCTCGGTGTGTCACTGCGGTGCCCGCGTGGATCTTTGCCTGTGGTGTGCGTGTCTGTGGATTTGGGGCTTTACTTTGTGGCGTGTGTGGGTCTTTGTGATGCTTTGCGTGGTTCCTGCGTGGCCGGGTGCATCTGTGCCAGGGGCCGGCCTGCCTGTGCGTTCCCAGTGCAGCCCGTCGTCCCTGCGTCTTTGTGTGTGACGTGTACGTGTCCCCGTCTGCCGATGGCTGTCCACCTTTGTATGTGATGTGCTTGTCTCTGAGGGTCTCTGCGATGGGTACCAGCCGTGTGTGGGCTGCGTGTGCCTGCCTCACATCTGCATCTTGTCGTGGAGCACACGTGTCCATGCCGGTGGCATGTCACAGCAGTATCCGGGCCAGGCACTCTGGGCCCTGCACCCCCCCAAGGGTCTGCTGGTCCCTGTCTGTCCCACCCCCTCCCCTCCCTCCTGGCAGCCAATGCTACTGGGGAGCCAGTTGCCATGACGACGCTCCATCCTCCCTCCATCCTCCCTCCTCCTACCCTTCCTCTGACAGGCTCTCCGCTCCCCCAATCCCGGCTGCGCTCGGGGGCGGGGCCCTCGTTCTCCCCCCCCATCTTACCCTCTCCCCCCCCACCCCAGCAACCCCGGTTCCCCAGCTCCTCTCCTCTGTCCGCCTCTCCATCCCTTCATCTGTCTGTCCCTTCAAAGAGGGGGAGGGGGGTACCTGAGCCAGCAAGCAGCCCCTCCCTCCCCCTGTCCTGCGTCTCCTGCCCCTCTCCTGGGCCGGGAGGAGGCCAGGGTCGTGCGGGTCCCCATGGCTGGGGGCTGAGGGCCCGCCCCCCCCTCCTCCCCAGCCGCCACCACCTCCACCTCCCCTCCATCCTCGACAAGATGCCTGCCCCCGGCGCCCTCATCCTCCTCGCGGCCGTCTCCGCCTCCGGCTGCCTGGCGTCCCCGGCCCACCCCGGTGAGTCTGTCCGGCCATCCGGCTGTCCAGCGGCCCCCACCCCCACCCCGGCCTGCCCGGGGGTCTGTCTGCGGGGCTCCGGCTGCATCACCTGTCTGCGCGTCTTCCTGCAACCGAGCCAGGGCCTGAGGAGCCGCGGGGACGGTGCCTCTGTCAGCAGGGCCTGTGGGAGGAAGGCTGGGGGCTGGGTGGGGAGGGGGTCCGTTTGGGCAACATGTGTGTGTGCACACGCATGTGTCTGTGCAGGTGTGTGCAGGGAGCCGGGGAAGGACAGGGCCTCTGGGAGGATTGGGGGCAGAGGGGAGGAATACTATTTCTAAGGGGGACACAGCATAGGAGGCTGTCTCTAGCTTTGGGGGAGACCCAGAGCTTGCGGAGTTGCCTTCTCAGGGGCTTGGGCTGAGGTCGGAGGACGTGTGTGTGCTCCAAACGTCCCTAAAAGAGACAGGCCTCACCCCCCCCTAGCTAGGGGGTTCCTGCATGGGGCAAGAATCTTCTCCCAGCCTGCAGCTGGCGGCTCGTCCTCTTCCCCAAATAGGGGGTAATGAGGCTGTCGGTGGGAGCGTATTTTAAATTCTGAGAGCTCCAGGCTCCACTATAACTCCTCCTTCCCTCAATCCTCACTGGAATTCATCCAAGCCTGGGGTGAGGTGATGGGATGTTGGGGGGGGGATCCCAGCTTGGAGCGAGAGGAGGGACCCCCACCCCCAACCCAGCCACCTGAGAAGGCCCCAAACTGCAACTCCCACAATGCCCTGGGCCATCCGGCTCCTCTGCCAAGGGGCCCCTTGTTGCAGAGCATCATGGGAGTTGTAGTCAAGGCTGGCCAGGACGGGAAGGGCATGGAGTCTGGGAGCCAGGGGCTTGAAGCCGGGACCCCAGCCCAGCCCTGTGCCCACAGATGGATTCGCCCTGGGCCGGGCCCCTCTGGCTCCTCCCTACGCCGTGGTCCTCATTTCCTGCTCCGGCCTGCTGGCCTTCATCTTCCTCCTCCTCACCTGTCTGTGCTGCAAACGTGGTGATGTTGGCTTCAAGGTGAGGTGCATGAAGGGATTCCAGGTGGGGAGGAAGATTCCAGCGAGACATTTTCCCCAACCGGAGTGGTTGGTGGGGGAGGGGGCAGTAAGCCCCAGAGCACCTTTGGGCCTGAAGTTATGGCAAGATCCAGAGTCTTGGGATGGAAATTGGGCTGGGATTGGGGGACAGTTATGAGAAAGACGGGGAGACGTACTGACTAGAAGGACGGTGACGTGTCTCAGCCCTGTGTTCTCCCACCCCTCACCCCTCCCGGCCCCAGGAGTTTGAGAACCCTGAAGGGGAGGATTGCTCCGGGGAGTACACTCCCCCGGCCGAGGAGACCTCCTCCTCACAGTCACTGCCTGATGTCTACATTCTCCCACTGGCCGAGGTCTCCCTGCCGATGCCTGCCCCGCAGCCTTCACACTCAGGTACTTCCCAGCACCCTGACGAGGACCCCATGGTGCCACGGGACGTGGTGGAAGGCCCTGAGAGTCTTCCCAGGATGCTGAGGCCCCGGGCAGCCCAGGGGAAATGCAGAGATGGGGGCCGTGGAATCTTGGAAGCAGCCTGTAGGGAATCACAGATAATTTTGGTGGAAGCCATTGCTCAATCCAAAACCAGCTGTGGGGATTCTAGTGGGGTAGTCCATGGTGAGGTCAGCCTAGACCTCAGTCTCAGAGACAGCCAATGGCAGGCCAACGTCACGTCATAGGATCTTGGGAGGCCAAAGGGAAGGACTGACTGGATGCTGTAGCCTTGTGGGCAGCCAATGAGAAGGCTGCAATCCCATCATGGAATGTTGGGGGCAGCCAATGAAAGGAGATTGTGTCTGCTTTGACCCCAGTCCCCACTGAGTTGGGGGGTGTCGAGGGCATTTGGGAGGGGAGATAGAAAGGCTCAGGGGCCTCCCTCTTTTCCCCCCCAGACATGACCACCCCCCTGGGCCTTAGCCGCCAGCACCTCAGCTACCTACAAGAGATTGGGAGTGGCTGGTTTGGGAAGGTGAGTGGGGCTGGGGGTGGGAGGCAGGGGGTCCATACAGTTGGGGCTGTGCTCCTGTCCTGTGTCCATCCCCCTGCTCTCACCACTTCTCATCTATCCCCCGCCTCCTCCCCCTGCCCCCTGAGCCCACCCTTCCCCTCACCTCTGTCCACCTCTCACTCGCTCCCACCCACCCCACCCCCCAACATCTGTCGGTCAGCGCCTCCCTCCTCACTCCATTGACCACTCCGCCTCGCCACCCGGCTCTCCACGCGTCAGTCTGTCCATCCTTCCATCCGTCCCTACGTCCATCGGACTCTGGGCCCGTGAGTCTCTCAGCCCGTGTCTGGTGGGGGACGAGGGTGGTGGGATAGGAAGGGAGATGCTGCAAAGGAGGGGAGGTTGGGAGCCGTGTGGTGGGGTGCAGGTGGTCCCAGGGGACGGGGCTGGGGAAAATTGCACGCGCTGACTCCCAGCTCCCCCTTGACCAGGTGATCCTGGGAGAGATTTTCTCCGACTACACACCAGCCCAGGTGGTGGTGAAGGAGCTCCGAGCCAGCGCGGGGCCCCTGGAGCAGCGCAAGTTCATCTCAGAAGCACAGCCATACAGGTATGGGGACTTCTCGATGGACGTGGGCCCTGGAGGCCCAGATATCCGAGTTTGCGACTCATGGAGGTAATGTTTGGGAGTGGAAGAAGTGTAGTAGGGGGTCACACCTGGGTTTCAACCTGGATCTACCTCTTCCTGGCTGTGCCACTCAGTCAAGAGAATTTCCCTCTCTGAGCCTTGGGTTCTTCCTTGGGACAGAGCCAGGGATATGAAGTGAGAGGCAGTATGATGAAGGCGAGGGGAGAGCACTGAAGCTGAGCTATGTGCTGAGCTGTGCCTCTCTCCACTCTGAACCTCAGTATCTTCTTCGGGAAAGTGAGTGCGGGAAGCTGAGAGGATGTGACATTACCCTGTGTTAAGCACTGGGTACATCGTGGTGGTCCCCTTCCTCAGGGCCTGCTTGTGAGGAGGGTAGCATCAGAATCACAGACCAGGGCCCTGAGTAGGCACCCAAAATGGCCACTGAGGAGCTCTGTGCTTTCGCCCCCCGCCCCTGCTGGACTGGGAGGTCTGGGAAGGCAGGACTCTGTCCCTCCTCTACTCGGTCTCCTCTCCACTCTCAGGGCTTCTAGACAAGGACTAGATAAACATTCGCTGGATAAGTGCCTTGTGAGGGAGTGAGTGCCCTGTTATGGGAAGGGTGTGTATACAGAGACTCCTTATCAGACGGCTGTAAAGTGGGGTTTACCCCAGAGACACAGATGTTGGAATTTATCACTCTCTTGCTCTAAAACTTCCCATAGCTCCCTGTTGCCCACAGGACAAAGTCCCACTCCTCCCTACAGCCCACAGCCCCTGCACTGCCTGACCCTGTTCCCTTCCTGCCACTGGCCCCCTCGCCCCAGTCATCCCTCACTGACATTCCCACATATCGGCCTCTTTCCTGCCTCAGGGGCTTTGTCCTTGCTGTTCCCTCTGTCTAAAATATGAGTCTAGGGCCACCCAGCCCCAGCTTTGGATGGTGGGCTCCCTTCCCCTCCTCAGATCTCAGCTCAGAAAGGATTTCCCTGCCCACCCCCACCCCCCCACCTAAACGGGGGCCTGGGATGCTCCATCACATCAGCTCGTGTGTTTTCTTCATAGACCCGTGCTGGCAACCATTAGCCACATACGGCTGTTTAAATTTGTTAATAAAATGAAATCAAATTAAAAATTTATTCCCTTGGCTACACTTGTCACATTTCAAGGGCTCAGTAGCCACCTAGTGCAGTGGCTCCTATGTTAGCTTGGATTTAGAACATTTCCACCTTCACAGCAAGTTCTATTGGAGGGGGCAGGGCTACGGTGGCAGCTCTGGGTCCATCTTGTCGCCCGAGCACAAGTGCCATCAGCCCTCGGTAGACGTGTGCTGAGTGAGCCAGAGACCTGAGATCGAATCCCATCTCTGCTGCCGTTACCAGCTGTGTGACCTTGGGCAAGTCGCTTCACCTCTCTGAGCCTCCATTTCCCCGAGATCATATGGGAAACATCATCCTGCCTAGCAGGGTTGTTGGGAGGATTTGATGACAGAAGTGGCCGGCCTTGGCTCAGAATAGTGGACGTGCAATGAACCAAGCTTCCTTCTGTATCTTCCATCCTAAATGTCCCACATTGGGAGCTCAAGCCGTTTTTGAAGGCCTAGCACATGTGGGGTGCTTTATGAACGCTCTGTATCACGATTCTTCCACCAAGCAGGAGCAGGAGGCACTATTCTGCCAGGTGGAGAAGGCTGGAATGCAGGAGGTGGACGGCTGGGCCTGGGCACTGGCCCCTCAGCCCCCAAGTAGCCTCTGCCTCCCGCCAGACCCAATGGGAAAATAACTTCCTGCACCCCTACCCCGAGCCAGGCTCTGGGCTGCAAGTCCGGAATGTTCTAGTCTTCCCACAGACCGCAGGCCGTGAATCAGGGTAAAATCCATTCCACACATTTTTATTGAGCACCTACTCGTCTAGGCACTGGGGACACGGCCATGTGAACAGAAAACCCCAAACCCTTGTCTCGGTAGAGCTCACCGCCTAGTAGAGGAGATGCACAGTAGGTAAATACATGAAGAAAGAAATTTTAAAAAGAAAATATCAGAGACTAAGTGCCATGAAGAAATAAGACAGGGGAGCTTTGCACAGGATCATGGAGGATGAGGGGGTTGGTCATGCAAAGCATTGTGGGAAGCGTGTTCCAGGCAGAGGGAACAGTACGTGCAAAGGCGGTGAGGCGGGAAAATGCAGTTAAAATGCAGGGTGACGTGAAAGTCAAACCATATGTGAAAATAAAATCAACAGTAACAGCGAGGAGCTTTCACTGTGTGCCAGCTCCTCTCTGATCTTATTAAATTCCTCTCCACAACCATATGAGGGAGTAATTATTACTGTCCCCATTCTAGAGGTGAGGAAAACTGAGGCGGGGCGAGGTGGAAGTGACTTCCACACCTGGGAAAGGTGGAGACAGGATCTGAACCCCTGAGCCTGACTCTTACCCACAGAGTGAGGATAAAGGAGGGGTACCCGCCCCAGTGTTGGGGACAGAGATGTTTCTTGGGGAAATGATGTTGATGCTGAGGCCTGAGGATGAGGAGGGCTTTGTGAAGGGACGGTGTTCTCCACAGAGAGAACTGTAAGGGCAGAGGCCTGGCAGTGTGTTAAGCAGGCACCTGTGTGTTTGGGGAGATGCACCTGGGGGTGAGAAGGGATGCTGGGGAAGGTAGCGGGGCACCCAGAGGGGCAGGAAAGACCGAGGACTGAGCTGGGCTTTGTCCTGGGGTGCTGGGGAGCCATGGAGGGCTGTGAGCAGCTTAGCGGCAGGTCACAACAGACTGAAAGAGAGAGACTGGAGGCAGGGAGGCCAGGAGGAGGCTGAGAAGAGAGTCCAGGAGGTGAGAAGGAGGCTTAAGCTGGGGTTGTGGGAAGGAGAGGGGATGGGGAAGCTTCAGGAGGCAGGAAGGAAGGCTGTGGGGGGCTGGTGAGGAGGAAGGAGGGGCACAGAGGTGCCTGGGGTCTGGCCCGGGAACTGGGGGACAGTGGGGCAGTCCTGGATGGGGCCCCAGGGAAGGAGGGTGTGTGACGGGGGAGATCCTGACATGAGGAAACTAAGACCAAAGCGGTTGAAGCTAGTTTGGTTTTGCTGGGAGGTTGGGGTGGGACAGGGGCTGTCTCCTGACCAGCCACCTCCCCCCACCCTAGGAGCCTGCAGCACCCCAACGTCCTCCAGTGTCTGGGCGTCTGTGTGGAGACACTGCCCTTTCTGCTCATTATGGAGTTCTGTCAACTGGTGAGGGTCTGGGGGGGGGGCGCTGGGCGGGGTGGGGGCTGGGGGAAGCCTAGGGTCCTAGGAATGTTTGGCAATAACATCATCATCGCGGCGACACCTGTGTGACATGTGCTAACAGTTCTCGAGCGCTCGCTGTAGATAAGCGCTCACTCCACAGGTGGCGCGCACCCAACTAGCGAGAGAGATGGGTTCTGTTAGGACCCCCTCCAAGCGGCAGGGGAAACTGAGGCTCAGAGCGACTGCCCACTGAGTACAGAGGCCGCCCCCATCCTTGCCTTGGATTGGCTGGGTGTGTGGGCGCTGGGAGGGGGTGGTGGTGCTGACCCCTCCCTGCCCTCCCTCCCTCCCTCCCTCCTTCCCTCCCAGGGGGACCTGAAACGTTACCTCCGGGCCCAGCGGCCCCCCGAGGGCCTGTCCCCTGAGCTGCCCCCTCGAGACCTGCGGACACTGCAGAGGATGGGCCTGGAGATCGCCCGCGGTCTGGCGCACCTCCACTCCCACAACTACGTGCACAGGTGGCGACGCCGGAGCCATGGGGAGGAGGAAGGGGGACTGCTTAGGGGAAGGAGGCGAGGCCACAGGGGAGGGGCTCGAGGGGGGGCAGGAGGGGTCACGGAGGAGAGGGAGGAGTCGGGAGAGGGGAGGAGTCGGGAGAGGGGAGGTGTCAGTGAAGGGGAGGAGTCAGGAGAGGGAGGAGTCAGGGAGGAGACTAGTCAGGGAGGGGACTAGTCAGGGAGGGGAAGAGTCAGGAGGCGGGTCACACAAGAGAGGGATGAGTCGGGAGGGAAGGAGGGGTCAAGAGGGGAGGGGGAGGAGTCAGGAAAGGGGAGGAGTCAGGGAGGGGAGGCGGGGTCACAGAGGAGAGGGAGGAGTCAGGAGAGGAGGAGGCGTGGGGAGGCGGAGGACTCAGGGTAGGAAAGGAGGAGTGAGGCAAAGGAGAGGCGAAGGGGAGGAGTGTGGGTGCGGGCGGAGTCTGGCGTGGGGGGCAGGCTGCCCCCCTCTCACGTCGCCCCCCTCGCCCCACCCCAGCGACCTGGCCCTGCGCAACTGCCTGCTGACCTCCGACCTCACCGTGCGCATCGGAGACTATGGGCTCTCCCACAGCAACTACAAGGTGGGGGCTGCCCTCCATCCGGGCGGGGGCGGAGGGGGTGCCCCGACCCGCCTGACCCTGCCCGGCCCACCCCCAGGAGGACTACTACCTGACCCCTGAGCGCCTGTGGATCCCGCTGCGCTGGGCGGCGCCCGAGCTCCTCGGGGAGGTGCACGGGAGCTTCCTGGTGGTGGACCAGAGCCGCGAGAGCAACATCTGGTGAGGGCCGGCCGGGGGCCCGGGGGTCGGGGGACCGGGGGTGGGGACGGGGGAGGGGGGGCGCAAGATTCCACGGATGGGGACACTGAGGCCCGGAGGGGAGGCCCTCAGCGGGTCAGGGAGGGGGCTCTGACCTCTCTCTGGCCTCTGCTCCCCACAGGTCCCTGGGGGTGACCCTGTGGGAGCTGTTTGAGTTTGGGGCACAGCCCTACCGCCACCTGTCAGACGAGGAGGTCCTCGCCTTCGTCGTCCGCCAGCAGCACGTCAAGCTGGCACGGCCTAGGCTCAAGCTGCCCTATGCGGACTACTGGTGAGGGCGGGGCCTGAGCCGGACCCCTGACCTTCCACGCCGCCCCCGCCAGCATGGTCCCAAAACCCCCTCCTTTCACACACCAGCCACAGTCTCACTCACCACTCGCTGCACCCCTAGACTGGAGTGGGCATGTCCCCACCCCTCTGCCAGCATCTGCCACTTGGAGGGGGAAACTGAGGCATGGAGTGGCAGAGCTGGTATTTGAACCGCAATGTCTCCAACCCTACAAGACCCTTGCTTGTCCCTGATTCCAGAACTCACAGCCTAAACAAGAGTAACCCCTTAGCCATCATTTTCTCACAGTGGCCTCGCTGTCCCCTCTTCCTCTGAGTCTCTGTCCCCCTCTCTCTGGGTCTCTGTCCCCCTCTCTCTGGATCCCTATCCCCCTCTCTGGGTCTCCTTCCCCCCCTCTCTGGGTCTCTGTCGCCCTCTCTCTGGATCCCTGTCGCCCTCTCTCTGGGTCTCTGTCTCCCTCTCTGGATCCCTGTCCCCCTCTCTCTGGGTCCCTGTCTCCCTCTCCCTGGTCCCTGTCCCCCTCTCTCTGGGTCTCTGCTTGCCCCCAGTGCCCCCCCGGGACTCTGTCCTGCTCACTCTGGCCTCCCCCTCTCCCCCAGGTACGATATCCTGCAGTCCTGCTGGCGGCCACCTGCCCAGCGCCCCTCAGCCTCTGACCTCCAGCTGCAGCTCACCTACCTGCTCTCTGAGCGGCCCCCACGGCCCCCGCCGCCGCCGCCCCCACCCCGGGACGGTCCCTTCCCCTGGCCCTGGCCCCCGCAGCACAGCGCGCCCCGCCCGGGGACCCTCTCCTCGCCATTCCCCCTTCTGGATGGCTTCCCTGGGGCTGACCCCGATGATGTGCTCACGGTCACCGAAAGCAGCCGTGGCCTCAACCTTGAGTGCCTGTGGGAGAAGGCGCGGCGCGGGGCCGGCAGGGGTGGGGGGGCGCCTCCCTGGCAGCCGGCATCCGCGCCCCCGGCCCCCCATGCCAACCCCTCGAACCCCTTCTATGAGGCGCTGTCCACGCCGAGTGTGCTGCCGGTCATCAGCGCTCGCAGCCCCTCGGTGAGCAGCGAGTACTACATCCGCCTCGAGGAGCACGGCTCCCCACCTGAGCCCCTCTTCCCCAATGACTGGGACCCCCTGGACCCAGGCGTGCCTGCCCCCCAGGCCCCCCAGGCCCCCTCCGAGGTCCCCCAGCTGGTGTCCGAGACCTGGGCCTCCCCCCTCTTCCCTGCGCCCCGGCCCTTCCCGGCCCAGTCTTCAGCATCAGGCAGCTTCCTCCTGAGTGGCTGGGACCCCGAGGGCCGGGGCGCGGGGGAGACCCTGGCAGGAGACCCTGCCGAGGTGCTGGGGGAGCGGGGGGCCGGCCCCTGGGCGGAAGAGGAAGAGGAGGAGGAGGAGGGCAGCTCCCCCGGGGAGACCAGCAGCCTTGGGGGTGGCCCCAGCCGCCGGGGACCCCTACCCTGTCCCCTGTGCAGCCGCGAAGGGGCCTGCTCCTGCCTGCCCCTGGAGCGGGGGGACGCCGTCGCTGGCTGGGGGGGCCACCCTGCTCTTGGCTGCCCCCATCCCCCCGAGGACGACTCCTCCCTGCGGGCAGAGCGGGGCTCCCTGGCCGATCTGCCCCTGGCCCCCCCCACCTCGGCCCCCCCCGAGTTTCTGGACCCCCTCATGGGGGCGGCGGCGCCCCAGTACCCCGGGCGGGGGCCACCTCCCGCTCCCCCCCCCCCCGCCGCCACCTCCCCGGGCCCCCTTGGACCCGGCCGCGTCCCCCGACCCCCCCTCGGCCGTGGCCAGTCCCGGCTCAGGCCTGTCGTCGCCGGGCCCCAAGCCGGGAGACAGCGGCTACGAGACCGAGACCCCTTTTTCCCCCGAGGGAGCCTTCCCAGGCGGGGGGGCAGCCGAGGAGGAAGGGGTCCCTCGACCGCGGGCTCCCCCCGAGCCCCCCGACCCGGGAGCGCCCCGGCCACCGCCAGACCCGGGCCCCCCGGGGACCCGGGAGAAGCCAACCTTCGTAGTTCAAGTGAGCACCGAGCAGCTGCTGATGTCCCTGCGGGAGGACGTGACAAGGAACCTCCTGGGCGAGAAGGGGGCACCCCACCGCGAGACGGGGCCCCGGAAGGCAGGGAGAGGACCCGGGAACAGAGAGAAAGCCCCGGGCCCGAGCAGGGACCCCACGGTCCCGGGCAGCGGGAAGAAAGCCTCCAGCCCGAACGAGGACCTGAACCTCCCTGTGAACGGGGTGACAGTGTTGGAGAACGGGGGACAGAGAGCCCCGGGCATCGAGGAGAAGGTGGCGGAGAATGGGGGCCCGGGGTCCCCAGAGAGAGAAGAGCAAGTGCCGGAGAAAGTGGTGGCGAATGGGGAGTTGACACCCCCAAGGAGGGCGGAGAAAGTGCTGGTGAATGGGGAGCTGACACCCCCAAAGATCGAGGAGAAGGTGTCAGAGAATGGGGGCCCGAGACTCCCCAGGAACACGGAGAGGCTGCCAGAGACTGGGCCTTGGAGAGCCCCAGGGCCCTGGGAGAAGACGCCCGAGAGTGGGGGTCCAGCCCCCACGATCGGGGAGCCAGCCCCAGAGACCTCGCTGGAGAGAGCCCCCGCGCCCGGCGCAGTGGCCTTGTCCCGGAACGGCGGGGAGACAGCCCCTGGCCCCACTGGCCCAGCCCCCAGGAGCGGGGTGCTGGAAGCCGGGACGGAGAGGAGAGCCCCCGAGACTGGGGGGGCACCGAGAGCCCCCGGGGCTGGGAGGCTGGACCTCGGGAGTGGGGGCCGAGCCCCAGTGGGCATGGGGATGGCCCCCGCCGGCGGCCTCGGAAGCGGCGTGGACGCAAAGGCCGGATGGGTAGACAGCACGAGGCCCCAGCCGCTGCCTCCACCGCCGGCGGAAGCACAGCAGAGGAGGCCGGAGCCAGCGCCCCAGAGAGCCAGGCCGGAGGCGGCCCCCGAGGGAGAGCCCGGGGCCCCAGACAGCAGGCCCGGCGGAGACACGGCACCCAGCGGAGACGCGGACCCCCCCAAGCCCGAGAGGAAGGGCCCCGAGATGCCACGGCTCTTCTTGGACTTGGGACCCCCTCAGGGGAACAGCGAGCAGATCAAAGGTGAGGAGGCTGCTGGGGGCACGGGGGCGCGGTTGGGGGCCCAGGCCTGGCTCCTTCCAAGATACGTGGAGAATCCCGGGCACCTGGGGGGCACACAGGTCAGGCTGGCGGTGACGAGCGCAGACCCTGGAGACATACTGCCCGGGCTCAAATTCTGGCTCTGCCGCTCCCTAGCTCTGTGACCTTGGACAAACGACCTTACTTCTCTGTGCCTCAGTTTCCCCATCTGCCGAATATGAATGACAAGGATAGCACCCACCCAATAGGGTTGTTGTGAGGGTAAATGAATTAGGCCTTCCAAAGCCTTTAGCCCAGGGCCTGGCACTTGTAAGCACCTGCTTTTATTATTGCAATTCACCTAGACCAGGGGTCTCAAACCCAGATGCCCACGGGGGCCGGACAGTACTGGGGAATGAATGAAGTAGGCTGGGAAAGGTGGGGTGGGAGCCGGGGAGAAAACACAGCCACTTCACAGCTCCATTCAGGAATGCCCACTTGGTGGTGCCAAATCTGCCGCTTTTCCCTTTTAAACCAGAGTTCTGGGTGTTTTAGTGGTTGAAACCAATTCAGATGAAGCCTGTCTGTGGGCTGGGCTGCCAGCCTGTCGTCTGTGGATTAAACTTTCCCACAAGCTGGGGCATCTGTCCCGTGTGCCAGGCCTCCTGTGTGCCAGGCCCTGAGCTGTCCAAGGCGGGGACCCAGGGAGCTTCAGACCCTGCCCGGCCCCCTGACCTGAAAGCCGGAGAAATGCCTTTCCTGGAAACTGAGTGTTGGTAGGAACACAGGAAGTGAGAAGGAACACAGAGAGGGGATGATTTAAGAGAAGATAAATGGAGAGTAAAGATAAACAGCCCTGTTTAGATGTGGGCACAGGGACTGTGGTTCCACCGAATCACCCGGAGGCCTGGTTTCCTTAAATTCTGGTATGAAAGTTATAAATGACCGGGCCCTGTTTTATATTGGCAACCTCACAGCCATACTTGAGGGAAGAGTTATCATCTCCATTTACCAAAGGAGCGTGTGGCTCAGGAGAGAAAGGTCAGGAAGGGGGCTGGGCGCAGAACTTTCTTTCCTCAAAGCCCATGGTATTAAAACACTACCACTTCCTCGGGGTTGCTGTGGGGAGTTGGCAACCAGCTGTGTCAGGAAAGACTCCGGGCAGCATGAAAATCTCAGGGGATGAGCAGTTAAGATGCCCCAGAGTGTCTACCGTGGAGGGGGGTCAGGGTTGCTGAGTGAGAAGAGTCTGGGAATAGCCTGCCAGGGAACTCCTACTCATCCTTCAAAGCCCCACTCATATCTCCCCTTCCCTGGGAAGCCTTTCTGATTTCTAAAGTCTGTCACCCTGTCCTTCTTCTGGGTACCCACAGCCCCTGATAGTTTCCTCTATACAGTCTCCCCACCCTGAGATGGGCAGTCAGGGAAGGTTTCAATGAGGAGGTGACTTTTGAGCAGATGTGAAGGAAGTAAGCCAGGTGGACATGTGAGGGAAAGGTGTTTCAGGTAGAGGCCACTGAGATGGGCACTAACTTGGCCTGTTCAGGGAATAGCACAAGGCCAGAGAAGCTGGAGTGGAGTGAATGAGGGCAGGGGAAAGACCCAGTCCACGTCCATCTTTCTCCCTGCCCCACCCTGGCTCTCCTCTTGTGCCCACCATCGCCCCCCACAGGCCCTGGCACACAGTTCACTTATGCACTAATGGAGGAATGAGTGGCCCCTGTCCATTTACCAGTGAGGAAACAGAGGCTCAGACAGGTGGATCTGCTTGCCAGGGACACACAGCAAGCGAGCAGGGTAGGCTTGGGATTCGAGGCCAGGTTTTCTCCTCCAGGGACCTGAAGTCCTTCCCTCCCAGCAGCCTTCAATCAGGGAGTCTTAGGGCAGGGAAAGTGCACCCCAGCTTCATCTGGCGATCCAGGGCCAGAGAGGAAGGTACCTGGGTCAACATCACACAGCAGGGAACATTCACTTATTAATCCCACAAATATTGACTGAGTACCTCTGTGTGCTTGGCGGTCTGACTCAGTCTCTGTTCTGTGGCAAGGCAAACATTAATAACACAAATATAGTTACATACCGAGATAATCTGCTGGGAAGGAGAGGAGGTTGGTGCTGGGAGGTGCAGAGCGGGTGGCCTGGCCTGACCTCCTGGGAGATCTCAGAAAGCTTTGGAAGCCCAGACAGAGCTGGAGGGTGAACAGGACTTGAGTTGGAAAAGGAAGTTCCATGCAGAGGGAACAGCCCATGCAAAGGCTCAGAGGCGGGACGAATGGGGAGGTGGCCCCTGTGGCTGGATGGAGGTCAAGCCAGAATCAGGTGGGGACAGAGCCTGGAGAGGTCAGCCAGGCCCAGGGCACTTGAGCCTGGTGGGCACTGGGGAGCCACGGGGAGGGATAAGCACTGGAGTAGGGGGAAGATCTCTCCCACTCTGGTGGAGAAAGGCCCACAAGGGGGGAAACTGAGGCCCAGAGCGTGGGCTGAGATGACCTGCGGACACGCAGCGGGGCGGGAGGGCGTGCCTCAGTTTCCCCAGGAGCAGGGGCTCACCGGGTCTCTCCCTCGCAGCCAAGCTCTCGCGGCTCTCGCTGGCGCTGCCTCCGCTCACGCTCACGCCGTTCCCGGGGCCGGGCCCGCGGCGGCCCCCG